CAGCAACCCTTGGAATTAGCATATGACCTCATCGTGGGATGCGATGGAGCCTTCTCAACAGTCAGAAAGCAGTTCATGAGGCAAACACGTTTTAACTACAGTCATGAGTACATTCCTCATGGGTATATGGAGCTGAGCATCCCTCCCAAGGATGGAGATGTAAGTGTACCTGTCTTGGAGGCTGCTCCCCTCTCATGGTGCTCTGCTACAGAAGCTCTAGAGAAACTGATTTCTCACCTGGGGCTCAGCCAAGGGATTAAAACTTCCCTAGGAGAAGGCAGACAACTCCTCCTATCTTAGTGATGGGGCCCATGTCTTGGTTAACTCTAATTCTGAGAGGTCCTGGGCATACAGGAATGTGTCTGTGAGGAGCTCAGTAACTGCAAACCATCAGCTTTTTTGCCCATCTTTCCTGCCTTTTCTTCTTATTCTTGTTCTGTCTCCCAGAAGCACCAGGTTCCAGAAAGGGGCCCTATAGATATTGGTATGAAGGATGGCAACTGGTGTGCTGGTGTGAAGGGGAAGCAGAGGCTGGGCTGGGGAAACTGAGCAGGGCAGGGACACACACAAGGTGATTTTCCTTCTCTTTCAGTTCGCCATGGAACCAAACTACCTCCATATCTGGCCAAGAAACACCTTCATGATGATTGCGCTGCCCAACATGGTGATAACCCGTGGCCATGCTCCCATGGGGCATGGGATGGAATTTGTGGGGATAAACTGGTTGTGGTGGCAGGGACTGGGAGGGACAACACAGTGCCAGGAGAGACACCCAGATCCCTTGGGTCTTGGGAGGGGTGTGGGACAGGACCCACAGAGCTGCCTCTGCCTCACTGCACCAAGCAGGTACCTCTACACTTCTCTGCCATGCACCTGAGTCCACTCAAACCCCCCTAAATCAGCTCTCTGAATGTTATGAACTGGATATGAGAGCACCAGGGCAGTGTGCCAGACCCATGGTGGCCATCACATACTGCCTGTTCCCCAGGGGATGCAAGCCCACTATGGGGCATGGGGTATGATTGTTGTGTGAGAGGCTGGGCACTGAGCTGCTGCTCCGGGTGCTCTCTATGCCCTCTGGGATTCTTTCTGACCTTCCTCCCTGGCTAACAGGACAAGTCATTTACCTGCACCCTCTTCATGCCCTTTGAGGAATTTGAGAAGCTCACAACGGGCGAGCAAGTGATGGGCTTTTTCCAGACCTACTTCCCAGATGCCATACCCCTCATCGGAGAGTAAGTGTTCCCATTTCCCCTTCCTGCTCATCAGCACAGTGCTGTGAAGGCAGGGGACCCATCCCCACCCAGCCTCAGGGTCCTGGTGATGTGGTGGTGAATGTTTTTGGGGTGGTTACCCATGGCCTGTAGGTCAACATTGTGTCTGCACAGCAGCAGGACCCACACCTATCCCATTTTAATGTCTTTAACCTGCCAGAGGGAAGATTGAGATGAGCTCTTAGGCAGAAGTTCTTCCTTGTGAGGGTGCTGAGGTGCTGACACAGGGTGCCCAGGGAAGCTGGTGCTTACTGATTGTGGCTAAGCAAGCATCCAGGCAGTGAGACACAAGAGTTCCCAGCAGCAGTGGGGATCCTCTCACTGCTGGGCCAATGGCATCAGGGCAGCAGCACGGAGCCAGAGCATCCTACTTCTCCTCAGGAGCACTGGTGGCACTGGGGACCAAACCCTTTCCACCCACATTCAAGTTGAATGAAGAGCTTAAAACCCACAGACAGAATATTTGGTCTATAGGGAGAAGTTAATGAAATAGGTTTTCTGGCTTCCACATTTTTCCCAGCACAAGTAGCCTAGTGAATAGGCTTGGGTTTTGCATCCCAGTGCTGACATTGCCATGGCTCCCTGCGCTTGGATGTCGCATGGCATCTGCAACCATGACAGGACAGAGCCTTGGGTTATGTGACCTAGTGGAAGGTGTCCCTGCCATGATCTTAAGGTCCTTTCCATCCCAAACTCTTCTATGATTCTGTGACTTGCTCTTCTTGTTTCTTTGGTCCTCCAAGTGAAGTATCTGTTGTTTTGCCTGAAGGCGAGAGCTGAAGCAGGATTACTTTTTGCTGCCAGCCCAGGCCATGATATCTGTGAAGTGCTCTTCCTACCACCTTGGTTCCCGGTGTGTGCTGATGGGAGATGCTGCCCATGCTGTTGTGCCCTTCTATGGACAGGGCATGAATGCAGTAAGTTCACTTACATCATTTGGGTCCCCAATCTTTTCACCCAGAAATGCCTGGGTTTGGGGTGTAGCTCCATAGAGTTCAAGGGCTGGCCTGTCCCACAGTCTGATGTCCTCTGCATTGGCAGGTATTGAGCTACCCTGATGCACTTGGCTGCTTGCTAGGACTTGGTTGTACTCCGGGGAGGAGAAGGGATGGGGTGGTTGTGCTGCCTTGCCATGGGGAAGAGGACTACATGGAAGTGAGGTCCAGCAGGACAGTCCCAGGCTGCTGGATTTCTCTGCAAGACCCCTGGGAGGGTGGCCTGAAGTAAGGCTCCTGCTCTGAAGCCATGCTCAGTGAGACCCTGCACATTCAAACACCTACACTAGCTGAGCATCCATGAGAGCACTTGTGAACGCATGGTTCTTTCTGCCTATTCACTCTCTAATCTTCCTCCCAGGGCTTTGAGGATTGTCTGGTCTTTGATGAATTAATGGACCAGTTCCATAATGACCTTGGTGAGTGAGGAGAGCAAGAGCAGAGGAGGATCCCTGCTGGATACCCTGCTGAGGAGCTGCCCATGAGCTTTCTTCTCCCAGGTGCCTGCCTCCCTGAGTTCTCCAGGCTGAGGGTGCCAGATGACCATGCCATCTCTGATTTAGCCATGTACAACTATGTAGAGGTAGGCAAGCTACACATTCACTTGTGGCTCTGGTGGCACTCGTGTCCTAACAGGATGCACACAGCTGGCAGGGTCTATGATAAGACTCTGGTTATGCCCTCATGTGGGAGACTTGAGCCTAAGAGCTCCTTGGGAATGCCGCTGGGGCTGGGGAGGCTCTGCTCTCTGTGAGCAGCACAACAGCAAAGATGCCCTGCAAAGGGATGACTTGGTGTCACAGATGCGTGAGCACGTGAATTCAACTTGGTTCATCTTCCGGAAGCACGTGGACAACTTCCTCCATGCCCTCATGCCTTCCACCATCGTCCCGCTGTACACCATGGTAAGGCCAATTCCAACTGAGCTGCTACCACCTCCTCCTGTGGCTGGCTTTGAGGTGGTGACAGGCTCCTGCCAACCCTCACACCTTCTGGTGTCACAGGTGACCTTCACCAGAATTCGCTACCACGAGGCGGTTCAGCGCTGGACATGGCAGAAGAAGGTGGGTCAGTGAGGGTGCCTGTTCTTCCTCCCCATGCCGTGACCCTCCTGAGCATCCTGCTTTGGTGGTGGGATAGGTGTGAAGACTTTGGTGCCACAGGTAGGAGCAAACCTCTGGGTGATGCTGGGGTTTCTCTTTGCACTTGCAGATAATAAATCGAGGGCTCTTTGTCATCGGAGCAGCAGGACTGGGGGGCACCTTCCTCCTTATAAAGTGGCTGGCTCGGGACTTGGGCTTCTGCATGGAAAACTTGTGGGGCTGGTCCCGTTATCTGAAGAATATTGGAAATCTTCCCTTTGGCATACAAGCAGCTTAAATGTAAGTGGAGGTCCTGGTTGAAATAAAAGTGAAAGCATGGATGTGCTGCTTTTGGGGATGTGGCCTTGCAGGTCCTGCAGCCCTCTGCCTCTTGCTCCCTTGGGAGAGGTGGTGGTTCCTTGGGTGAGAGGAGCCCGTAAGGGCACAGAGTGGCCAAATAGCAGGATCTCAGGTGTGTCTGCCTCATCTCAGCCTTGTCTCAAGGGATGTGGTGTGGCACGGGCTGAGTACGGGTTTTGTGTGCAGTAACAGGGGAACTCTTCATCAGGGACTGTAGTGATAGGACAAGGGGTGATGGGTTCAAACTGAAACAGGGAAAGTTCAGGCTGGGGATAAGGCAGAAGCTCTTCCCTGTGAGGGTGCTGAGGCGCTGGCACAGGGTGCCCAGAGAAGCTGTGGCTGCCCCATCCCTGGCAGTGTTCAAGGCCAGGTTGGACACAGGGGCTTGGAGCAACCTGCTCCAATGGAAGGTGTCCCTGCCCATGGCAGGGGCTGGAACTGCATGAGCTTTAAGGACCCTTCCAACACAAACCAGTCTGGGATTCTGTGATTCTATGACTCTGTGTCCTTCCAGCCAGCAGAATGGCTACTTGAGCTGCTCAGGGTGTCCCACACCATATTGCTGACTCCAGCTCTTACCAGAATCAACATCTTGACTTCAGCTGGCTCCCTCCTCACCCCAAGTCAAAGGAATTATGGTCCAATTATTCCTGATGGAAAGACCTTTAAGAAAAGATGGGGCAGTGTTTGGAGCCTGGAGGATAAGCTGTTTCACACCTGGCTGAGAAATACTTCTGACTTTTGCTATCAGTTCTCCACAGAGAAACCACCGAGCCTTTGGGCTAAAGCAAGACCAAGGGCCTGAAGGACCCTCCTAGCTCCCTGTTTTCCCTCTGGGATTTTGCAAGTGCTCTAGCATATACTTCTGTCTAATCAGTGACCAATCATAGTTCTTTTGGAAAAAGCCTGGATCTAATTTTCTCCAATTGTCCCCCAAAGCATATGTGTGGTTGTGCTGTGCTTGTTCTGCACACACTACAACAGCACCAAAACCTGTGGCTGCTGGCAGGGTGGACAGTCTCTTCACATAACAGCCTCTGCCCGGGTCCCCAGCAATGGACATTGCATCCAAGCCCTGGTCTGCATGGCTAGTGAATCACTTTTGGTTTGCAAGGGATGTAGACGGCAAATGAGTGTAGAAGACAGTTTGTGTCTCTGGCCAGCATCTTTCCCAGACACAGTATCTGTGGATGGGAGCTGCTGGCAGCAATGGCAGGGTTTTGCTGTAGTCTCTCCAACGAACACTTCAGCTGCTGCCCTTGCACCTGATTCTTAGCAGGACTGATGTATTTACTTTATATATTAGTTTTTATTAATGTTAAACCTCTTCAGAGAGCAAATGAAGATGGGACACAACACAGCTGTATGCAAATTATTCCCAAACTCAAAGAAAATATGGAATTGTACCGCTATTTCACAGGAATGACCCCCCAGTGTAAGAGCAGTTAGCTGCTGTGCAAGTGCTGAGCTGCAGGTCTCTGGCTCTTGCACACGACTGGCCCTCAGTGTGTCTGATGCACTCATAGAGCAAGGAAAAGATCTCACCGTGTGGCCAAACTCAGACAGTTTCATGTGCTCAGTGCCCATGTTTCATAGTTCAGTTGCTCCTTTGTGTCTTTGTGATGCAGAGGGCTCAAGGCCTGGCAGAGGCAAGACAAGCCTGCAGGAGCCCAAGCAGAACCATGCCCGAGGTAGGTCTGAGAGGGGAGCAACACAAGATTCAGTGCATGTTGCCCAGCTGCTCTTTGTGTCTGGGTACAGGTACTCGCTAGCCCTTAGGGCCCATCACCTCACTGAAAGCTCCAGAGCAGACCACCAGCATGGAGGACCCTCCATGTCCAGCTCAGCTGTGAGTGCTTTAGGCACCAGTGCAAACACAGTGGTGGGGACCAGCACAGCAGGTGAAGGCATGGAGCAGCATGGGAACAGATCCTGCTAGAGTTGAAGGGAAAGGGCAGGTTTGCAATTCCAGCTCCAAGTCAATGTTGGAAGCACTCTGTGCACTCGGCTGTTTTTGGAGTCTGAAAGTCCTGCCAGAAGGTAAAGGTCATCAAGAGCTGAGAGAGGCAGTAACCAGGTACAGGAGCCATTGCGTGTGCCCGCTGGTGGGACCTGCTCTGCAGTCCCATCCACGGCAAAGCTGTGTCTGTTCCCTTCTCCCAGCTCCACTAATCCAGCTGCACCAGGACACAGGCATGGTGCAGCTCCTCAGCCAGTGCCTGGTGTGCTGGTGGCCTCTTGGAAGAAGGGAACAAAGTGACAGGATGAAGAAGAGGAGGTCTGAGATTTCCTTAGCTTGGCATTTCCTTATTTCACAGCGGGTCCCAGTGCTGCCGGGTGTTGCTCAGCTTCACTGGTCGTTGAACCTGGGGTTCACAACCGTGGTTGTGGCACTCTTGAAGAGGGGATTATCAGCCTGGAGGGAGAAAGGTGAGGAGCCCATATTGTCAGTGGAGCATTGCCCATCCCACCCACATCCCAACCTCAACAGTGTTGGCAGAAGAGCCCACAGGCTGCTCTAGCACCCTGCAAACCCATCCAGTCTGTGAAACTGGCCAGTGGGGAGGACACAGGTCTGCTATGGCTACCACTGGAGACGACATCCCTCCCAGATGTCCCCACCACATGAACACGAGCGTCCCAGCACACCCCACCAGCACAGAGGGGCTCTCTTACATCGTTCCACTTGGCCTTGGCCTTCTCCTTTTCAAACCGGCGGTATTCCCGGCGGTCAAACAGTTCCATCAGGAGCCGCCAGGTCAGCAGGAGCACCAGGCCAATGAGGGCCACGCCGGCAATGGTGCTGCCCACAATCAGTGCGATGTTGGGAGGCTTTGGGCACTCTGTGGGGTAGGCAAGTGGTGTCTGGCTACAGCCCCTGCTGAGGCTGTCATGTGGAGGGGTAGGAGCAGCAGGGCTGGGGTACCTTTCTCAGGATCCACGGTGACGGTGTATATCTCCTTGCCATCCTCCTGGACCATGCGGAAGGAGATCCAGCAGTTTTGGGAGTCCTTCTCCCTGCACTGCCTGCTCTCCCCTGTCATATTCTGCACCACGCGGATGTTGGGGCAGGCCTGGGAGCAGTTCTTCTCGAAGGGGCCGCTCTCGGAGGCCCTGCATTCCACGCAGGAGCTGCAAAACAGGTCACAACAGCTCACCTCTGCAGGGACAAGACTCACCCTGGGTTTGGCCACCACTGTGCTCTGCCCAAGCACAGTCAGGGACCTCCTGTGCCTGCCTCCCCACCACCCTTTGTGCCGTCTCCATGTGCATCACTCACACGTATCTGGCACAGGGCGAGGGGCAGCTGGGGCACTCCTGGCAGAAGGGGGGCTGGTATCCTCCCCAGCACTGGCAGCGGTTGCAGTGGCAGGTCCCGCGGTGGCTGCACTCGTTGCCACGCTGGTTCAAGCAGCCTTCTGTTGACTTCTTGCACTGGCAGGCGCTGCCCTGGTACTCAGGATTACACTTGCACTCCCCACAGTCACAGTTACCCCGCTCTGCATGGGAAGACCTCTCAGATGTGTCAAGGATGCTGCAGAGAATCAGGTCTCCCTCCCTCTGCCCACGTTTGGAAAGCATCACCCACCCTGCACTGTGGTGTGGTGGGACCCAGGACCCTCAAACCCACCCTTCTGGGGTTTGGCAGGGAAATCAGCACCTCCTGGAACAGGCTGCCCAAAACAGTGGTGAATGCTCCATCCCTGGCAGTGTTCAAGGCCAGGTTGGACACAGGGGCTTGGAGCAACCTGCTCTAGTGGAAAGTGCCCCTGCCTGTGGCAGGGGTTGGAACTGGATGAGCTTTAAGGTCCCTTCCAGCACAAACCATTCCATGGTTCTATGGTTTAGTCTTTCTAAGCAGTGCCGCAATGGAGAACCCATCACAGCCACATCACCTTTGCCACCGCAGGGAAGGCCATTGTGGAACTCGCAGTTGACGTTGTCGCACTCGCAGAAGGTGCCGTAGATCTGCTTGTCGGGCACGTCGCTGGTGTGGCAGAGGCACTGCCCGCACACGCAGTCCCCCAGCCCCGAGCAGATGACTGAGCTGTTGTCCTGCCGGCAGCTGCCCTCCAGCTCCTTGCTGCTCTTGCCTTTCGTGTCACACTCACAGTTCTTCCCTATGTAGCCTGGGTTGCAGCTGCCAACAAAGGAGAGGAGTGAGCCCAGGTCAGTGGCCACAGGAAGTGCTGTTGGCCATATGCAGGGCCCACATCTCAGCCAAAGAAGAGCAAATCTGGGATAGCTACACCAAAACCCAATCATGGCATGTTGGTGCTGCTCCATGCTGGAGCAGGGCAGCTGACTGGGAGGGAACCTCAGAAACACTGCTTTTCCCCCAGGTCCTATTTGCAACACCCAACGGTTGTCTGGAAATTATTGTTACAGTTATAATTTCCAAACCCCTGCCAAGGATTACTTCCTGAGGAAATCCAGTCTTTTTCCCTCCCTGTTACCAACGGGCCAGGAAGTGCCCTTAAAGACCTGCATGAACTGCACCCAGGATTGGGATTTTGAGTGATTTCTACAGAGACCTGTTTCTATTCAGTGGATGGTTTGGTGGATGAATGGATAGCTGGACAGATGGATAGCCGGAGAGACGGTTAGATGGACGGCTGGAATGTTGGATTGGTAGATGGGTGGATAGCTGGATGCTGGCTGAGTGCCCTTAGGAAAGCAGCAGAGGCTTCACCAACAGGAGAGACATTGTGTGTCCCATCTCCATGAACATAATCCCCCTCTGAACAAGAAAACTGGTGCAAAGCTGCAGAGCCAAGCCCTGAGCTGGACCTGGCAGCCCCCTCCAGCAGCTCCCCAGCTCTGGCAGCGTTTGGAACAGTGTTGTGTGGATAGCACATACCTGCAGATCCCACAGACAATGCTGCCCTGCCCACTGCAGGCGCCTGGGTCCGGCTGCTCCTTGCAGTTGCAGTTGCACTTGCTCTCCACGTGGACCGTGAGGGTGTCTGTGAAGCCCAGGGGGCGGATGGTGAAGGACTGGCTTTTGATGCACTCTTTGGCTGTAACCTTCACTCTGAAGGTGACCTAGAAAGTGCACAGTGAGACAGGGAAGGGCCAAAGGCCATCAAGGCAGCTTCAGCAACCAGTGAACCCCACAGCACTTTGGACATTAATGTGACCAGGAAGCCTGAAACAAGAGGCTGGGTTCCTGTTGTCAAACAGGATGGGCATCAGGGACCTGCTGGTTGCAGGATGTTCCCTGTACAGGGGGATGTACCTCTTCGTTGATCTTGATGTTGTCGCACTGCCCTCTTGCCTTGTCTGTGACTGTGTTTTTAGTGCATAAGGAGTCATATTTGACATCAAGGGCATCTGGAAGGGTGGAGTGGTCCAGGATGATCAGTGAGGAGAGGTTCTGTGGGGAAATGGTGGTGCAAGTGCCATCAGGCCGAAACGAGAACAAAACAAGGGAGTGTGGAGTTGCAGGGCAGGGTTTCCCTCCAGCCTAGGAGATAGGGGCAGGAAGCACCCCAGCCTGGGCTCTCAGCTGCCTGGGGTGGTTCTCAAAGGCAGGTAGCAGCATTGAAGAGGTGGGAACCTCTTGCTTGCTGTGGGCAGAGGGACTCAGCATGTCTTGTACTCAAAGCCCTGGTCACAGTTGCTCTCTCACAGTGAGGACATACAGTGGAAGCCTTTCCCTGCTCCGGAATGGGTGAAACACTGCCTCCTCTAGCACTTACATTGTAGGCCACCTGAATGAGCTCAATGATGTTGCTGGAGTCCTCATTGAGCTCTCCCACTGCCGACTTCGGGATCATCTCACTGAGTTTCTGCCAACAGAGAGCAAAGAGGTGAGTGGTCCCCCTGTGCTGATGGTGGAGCATGGGGGGACCACAGCAGCAGCAGGACATGAAGAGCTGCTTTTTGTCCTCCTCGGGAGGTAGCTGGACCATCTGAAGTCTCCTTACCTTGTAAACATCCACCACCTTACTGGTGACAGCAAAAATGGGCTGAATGTTGTTTTCAGCAAGTTTCTGGACCAGCTGCCCAACAGAAGGGTAGTCCTGAGTAGGGAGAGGGACGCCACATTCAGCATGATCTCCCCCACCAGCTGAAGTGTGGAAAGATTGGGTTTTGTAGCCCAAATGGTGGTGGTTATGGTGACACTGTGGTCTCAGCAACAGGCTTTTTGTGTGACATTATTTATCCTGCCTGTGGGAGCACAGCTGAGGGTGCAGAGCTGCTGAGCAGCCGCCTGGTACTTACAAACTCATTGCTTTTCTTGTACATGTTGTCCTCCAAATGGCACTGGCCATCGTTGGGTGTCAGGATGGCCGCAAGCTTGCCATCACCAGCAAAGTGGAAGCCATCATCAGTGGCATACACCAGCAAGCGGGTCACGTTGCGCCAGCCGATCAAGTCCTGCAAGTGGCATGAAGACCTGTCCCTGAGCAGAGCTGGGAGGACATGGTATGGCCCTGGCCAAGTCACATCAGCCACACTGTGGGCATGGGGAAGGTAAGTTACAGGAGATCTGGGCTAAGATGCTCTCTCGTAACCCCCAAAGTAACCTACCCCACTGCTGAATTAAGACTTGATGGGCTTCCAGAGCCTACCTGGAAAGGGGAAGAGTCACCTTCCATGAGCACAGGTCACAGACTCACCCCACACACTGCTGCCTGCATCATGGCATCCAGACCCCCCTCGGGTGCATCCAGGTTTCCTGAGATGTACTGCTTCCCTACTTCACTCTCGAACTTCTCTGCATCATCAGTCAGCGAGAGGATGTGCTTGAAGGCGAAGGGAGGTTGGCACTGCTTGTCCTTGGAGGGGCAGGGGTTCTTTAGCTTCTCAGGGTGTGTGTTCACAAAGGGCAGCACAGTCTTGTCCACAAAGGAGCCAAACCCTAGGGCACCCAAGACTGCAATGTCAGGGGCAGCAGGGACCAGCAGGCATGGACAGTCTGCTGGCCCCCCATGTCCACATCCCTTGCCCTGGCATGCTCTCCAGCCTTGCAGAGGATGGGTCACGCTGCCTGCTGCCTGCATCCCACTCCATGGCTCTTCCCAGCTCTCAATGATTGGAGATAGGCTCACCTATGTGGCGAGAAGGGGTGGTGCTCTCCAGTGCCCTAAGGAGCTCCCCTCCCAGCTTCTTCACCTTCTCCAGGTCATCCAACATGGAGTAGGAAAGGTCCATGAGGTAGTAGAGATCAATGGGGTACCCCATGGCACGGCGGAATTTCACCTCAAATACAGCGGGCTGTCCTGCAGAACAGGGATGCAGGATCATCTGCTGTGCTGGGGCTCGCATTCTACCCTGGCACCCCCCTCCCACTGGGATCCTCCTCACTTGCTGAAGAGAAGGGGAGGAAACGCAGACTGTGAGGAGTGGAAAAGAAATACAAGGGAGGAAGAGGGAAAGAAAATAAAAGAAGGAAAGGAAAATGAACAAAAGGGAAAAGGAAAGGGAAAGGAGAAATTAAAAGAAGGGAAAAGAAGGTGGAAGGAGAAAGAAAGGAAAAGGAAAGGAAAGGAAAAAGGAAAGAGAAAGGAGGGGAAAGAGAAAGGAGGGGAAAGGGAAAGAGAAAGGAGGAGGAAACATGGTCCCAGCTGAGGCTGGGAGTGAGCAGGAGGGCACTGGGAGTGCCAGGGAGCCTGTACCTATCCTTAGTTTCAGGTGCACCTCTTGGGGAGCGAGCTGTACATCACTGCTCAAGGAGCTGTTCTGTGTGGTTGCAATGTCGTTCTCTGGGAACTCGATGTCGCTGCGCGGGCATCCCCGCTGCAGCAGCTGCTCCACAGTGTCACAGCGGATGGAGTCTGGCTCGCCGGCCTTGGTGAAGCTCTGTGTGTTGCAGCATCAGCAGGGAACAAAAGCAGAGGAGCAGGTCAGCGGGCTCCTTACCAGGTGACCCACCTCCCAAACCACATCTGCATGGAGAAAGGAAGGTCCAAGGGTCCTGCCTGCCAGATCCCCATCCACAAGGGAGAACATGAAGCTCTCCCACCATGCAACCCACCCCTCCACTGCAAGCAGAGATGGGCAGGCAGGGTGACATCCCACTGCCGCACAGCTGACCACACCAAAGCCTACATGGACCTACCAGCTTCTTGCACCAGGCACAGCCGGGACCAGACTGAATGCAGTCCTTGCACGTGCCCACCTTGATCTTGGGGCATTCCATGGCAAAGGCTGAAACAGAGAGAAGATAGGGTGGTGTGCGGGGCACTTGGGGAAGGCTGGTCTGTAGCAGCACAGTCATGGGGTGCTCTGACGCTCAGCACAAGGCCCCCATGTTGTCTTCAGCAAACCCTGCCTACAAAACCTACAATGGAGGCCGTGGCAGGGTCCCCACCTGCCTTGCTGTCCCTCAGCTGGACTAACTGACAGGGGGGAGATTGAGGTGAGCTCTTAGGCAGAAGCTCTTCCCTGTGAGGGTGCTGAGGCGCTGGCACAGGGTGCCCAGAGAAGCTGTGGCTGCCCCATCCCTGGCAGTGTTCAAGGCCAGGTTGGACACAGGGGCTTGGAGCAACCTGCTCTAGTGGAAGGTGTCCCTGCCCGTGGCAGGGGTTGGAACCAGACAATCTTTAACTTCTCTTCCAACCCAAACTATTCTATGATTCTAGGTAGAGTTAACTCCACATCCTGGGAAATACAGGATCTGATGCTTATGTGCCTCTCAGTGCCATGTTCACACTGCTGCTGGGCAGCATTTGGGTTCTTTCTCTATTTCACTACCCACATAAGCTGCTGGGAGGAAGGCAGCGAGGAAGGGCAGGTTGGGCTCACCTGTGGTCAGCAGCAGCAGCACCCAGGTCAGCATCGGTAGCTGAAGGCAGCGGTCACAAAACATCTTCTGCAAGACAAGCAGAGCATCCCTGTGACCGCTTTGTGCACAGCAGCCACAGGGAAGAGAACCCCCAACCCTACAGAAAGTGGCTGCAGAGGGTGGTGGCCCCAGGGGGATGTCCCATCAGTATGCTGGAGCATGATAGAGACCCTGTTCTTCACAAGCACGTTCTCACTATGCTTGTCCCAGTTGCTCACACTACTTGCTTCTTGCCCCAGAGCACAGCTCCTGATCCCAGAAACTTTATGCTACCCATGAAGTTGGCTCGGTCAGTCTTGGGAAGCAATACCCAAGTGTTCTTCCTGTTCTGTCAATGAGATCATGCCCGCTAACACTGTCATTTCCTGTAACACCTTCCCCCCCACCCCGCGCAACCCTGGAGCAAAACCCAGCCTTGCAACATGGATGTACAAGGGGAAGTGACAAAAGAGGAATCCGTTAAAAGAAGAAAAAGGAATAAGAAAGCCTAAAGAAACAACAAACATCATCCTTATTTAGCAATATTAGACACAACATCCCAAAACCAGGTCGTGGGGTTTGAAATAGCCCTGAGTGAGTAAACAACCACTCTCTGGCTCTCGCCAGCTTCTCCAAGTGCCATCCCCCAACCTGTGGACCCACTGGATTAAAAGCACAGTGAAATGGGAATGAGAAAACAGGGAAACTCCAATAGACACTGAGACGTCTGGATGCCCTTTCTTAGCTCATCCGTCTCTGTAAGATACCACACAACCAAAGGGTCACAGAATCAACCAGTCTGGAAAAGACCTTCAAGATCATCCAGTCCAGCCATTACCCCAGCACTGCCAAGACCACCACTAACCCATGGCACTAAGGGCCTCATCTAGAATCATGGAATCATAGATCAGTCTTGAAGGAAGGTCTGGTCTCCTCCCCAGGGCAGAAAGGCCTAGGTAGGATGAGTGTCATTTCAGTGAGGTTTGGTGCCCAGCTGTGGTATGGATTTGGAGCTGTGCAGGACCACTAAGGCTGACTGCCACCATTGCTTATAGCAGGGGCCACATGGATGTGAAGGTTTGTAGCCTTGGGGAACTCACCATGCCCTGGAGCCAGCCTCCCGAGCATTGCTCCAGCAGCCTTGCCCCATCTCACAGCTCCACAGGCAGCAAGAGGTGCCCCTGTGGTCGCCCCATCAAGCTCTCACAGCGGTGTGGCCCAGAGGCTCACTCTGCAGTGGCTGTCCCTGTACCTTCCTGTGATGGGTGGGCAGAGTCCTTCTTCACAAAGACACCTCCACAAGCACCTCTCCTCCACCACGGTCCATCTTGGCAAGAGTTTTAAGGGCATCATTTACTGTCCCAGCTGCACCACCCCTGTCTGTGTTATACACTCTTGATGTGCTCAGCTGGGCCCACATTTGTGTCACCTTCAGATCATGCCAGCACTGTGTGAGCTTGCAGACAACAGGTAAAACCTCATCAGGTAAAAAAAGAAACAAGGTCTTGACTTAAAAGCTCTCATCAAGGCAGGGTGGACACCAGGGCCTAGTTGGACCCTCTTGGATGCGCCCTGCTGGACAATGACCTTTCCCAAATGTGCCTAATTGGGCTCCAGCTCTTCTCCTCATCCTCACTGGAGTTAGAGGCTCCTGCTTACAGACTCATAAAATAGAATCACAGCATAGAATGGTTTGGGTTGGAAGGGACCTTAAAGCTCATCCAGTTCCAACCCCTGCCACGCACATGGACACGTTCCACTAGAGCAGGTTTCTCCAAACCCCTGTGTCCAACCTGGCCTTGAACACTGCCAGGGATGGCGCAAGTTTCCAATTAAAACTGGATTTTAGAAAGCTCTCAAACCCCAGAAGTAAAGTGGAAAGCTCCACATAAGCCAGCTCTGGATACTGTTGAGTTTTGTAATGCACGGTAAATTTTGTGGGCTGGATTTGGTTGCCTTTCTAATCCCTGAAGTCATTTCTGTCCCTTGTTGCAAGAAGGTAAACCACACACGCTGGTTGTAGGGAGAGCAGCAGAAGAAACCTCACCACTTTCCTTTTGCTGTGGAGGGAAATTGCTCACTGGTATGTGGGTGGCTGAGCGTATACATGACGTAGGGTGACCTTCAAAGAGAGCAAGTAGGCCTTCTGCTTTTGTCTGCCTCCTTACAGTGCTCAGGCTGAAGAAAGCAGGTTTTTAATCTGGCACTGCATTAGCAGGGCCCACACATAGGCCTCAGCAGCATTTTCTCCATCTCCCTTCATGGGGACTCTTCTGGATGTGCTCTTCATCATCTGGGATGTTGGGTTTTCTTCCTCTTTTTCATATATTAAGGCACATAGTCCATCCTCCTGCCCTGGTGTGAAGGAGCAGAACTGCAGAGCTCTACAACCTACTTCATCCCAGGCTAGGGAGAAAGGTGCTGAGACTGAGCACCCCTGCTAGGGGCAGGGCATGGTGCTACCAGGCCCTGGTACCTGTTCTGGTACCTGCATGGGGCATGGGTTCCTCGTTGGCCCTGAGCTCTGATCTTTGCACCACATGCCTTGGGCAGCTTGGGACTGGGCCTCTGCTTCACCAGGAGTCCTCTGAGGAAGACACCAGGGTTCTCCATCTTTGGAGCATCTCTCACTTGTTGCATGTTACTTACATACTTGGCACGTCTCAGGCAGGGCAAGAGTCTCCTGAAGGGTCTGTGAGCCAGAAAATGTGAAGGCAGCCTCAGAGAAGGTACTGAACACTTCAGTGGGTGTCAGATGGAGGATGCTGCTGGGCAGCATGAAGGAGTGAGTATAGAGAGGGCTGAAGGGGAAGCGTGGATGCCAGTGCCAATCCTGTTGCTATAAATAAGATGAGTGTTCAACAGCAGAGACAGGTCTTGCAGTCTGTTAGCCACAACTCCCCTGCAGTGCTTTGCTAAACATCTGTTTTCCTGCGCAATGGGAGGATGCATTCTCATGCCTGGTGTTGCAGGACTTCTGGGGCATTTAGAGCTGTTGGAGGGAGTGCAGAGGAGGCCATGGAGATGCTGCGAGGGCTGGAGCAGCTCTGCTCTGGAGCCAGGCTGAGAGAGCTGGGCTGGGTTAACCTGGAGAAGAGAAGGCTCCTCAAGGGGAGACCTCAGAGCAGCTCCAGTGCCTAAAGGGGCTGCAGGAAACCTGGAGAGGAAACCGACAAGAAACCTCAGAGCAACCTGCTCCAGTGGAAGGGGTCCCTGCCTGTGGCAGGGGTTGGAACTGGATGAGCTTTAAGGTCCCTTCCAACACAAACCAGTTTGGGATTTTTAAGAGCAGAGAAGCCATTTCTTGTGTCTCATCTCCTGTGGGCATCAGTCCTTGAATGATCCCAGTGTGCACACTGTGATGGTTGGCAGAGATGCAGGACAGAGTCCTGGGCCTGAGCAGGGACCCAGAGATCTGCCCAAGGGCACAGCCTGTCCCCTGGAGCTGGCAAAGCTCATGCTTCCTGTAAGCAAAGGAGGGATCCTCTGTCACCACCAGTCCTGTGGTGACCTGATTATGTCTGTCTCTGAGAAAATACATCACCCTGCACCACACTCTCCAGTGCTGAGATCGCCTGTGACAGAACAGCAGCAGGATGAGGACACAAAAAGTGCAAAACCAATCTGTGAAGCAGGATGTGAGAGCCGTGACAGCAAAAGGCACTGTTTAAAGCCTTCCCACACCTTGCAAGAGCCACATAGCAGCACCCACACTGCCTTGCAGGGTGCAAAGCCTCTTCTTGTGTTCACACATTTGCCTGTGAGGACGTGACCTGGGGCTGTGGTGTTGGGAAAAGCATCCAATGTAGATGCTAGGCTGCTTTCCCCACCCCTGGGCTGTGCCCGGCATTTTGTCTGCATCCAAGAGCCATGGAGATTTAGGGAAGGACCTGCTGTCCCCGGGGTTAGCTTGCCTGCAGCCTCTGCTGCCTTTCCCACCATTGCTTTCAATGGTGTCAGCAGGGTATGTTGTGTACAGCACACAGAGAGATGAAGGAGAGGAGAGAGGGTCTTCCGTGCTGGTGGTGGCACCACACCAAGCCCCGCTTGCACCATGTCACCACGCCGCTTCCCTCTTCCCCTCTGAGCCATCACACCCTGCAGCTGATGGTGGGTGCCTGTATGGGATCCCACACGGAAGAGGGGTGTCCTGGGAGGGGAACCAGTGCAGCCCCCAGCCCTGGTGCTGCTGGTGGGCACGCAGACAGCACTGCTCTCCCCAGGGCCATGCGTGAGGGTAACGGGGGAGCATGCTGCACCCTCTCTGCTCTGCTTTCCAGTCCTGTGGGGTGGTGAGGAAGGAGTTGTTTGGGGTCTGACACCCTCTCCTCGATAACTACCTGCAGTTCTATGCTTAATCC